GTTTTTCGTTATTGAAATTTGTAATTTCATTTTAGAATGTCACTCCGAACAAACGATTGTTACATTTGTCATTTTAATGCGCACTTCTTTACAAGTACCATACATTGACTTTCAAAAAGCACTAATAAAATCCTTCCTAAACTTTAAAATTTATTTATAAAGTTGTTATATCAATCTAAATTTAAAGTCCTAACTTAATAATATGCGTTAAGGACATTATAAAATTTTCCCTTTTTCGAATCAACAGGTTAACAATAATAAGCCTGAATAAGATTTATCCTTTATTCAAAACGAAAGCCATAAAGAATGCAAAAGTAATTTCTTCATTTAATCATTCACAATACCTATCTCATTCGAAATACCTTCCTTACCTTTTAAGGTGTTCGTAATTTCATCTGTTTCGAAGTATTTATAAACTCAAACGGTTTTTCGCGACATTAATAGAAGATGTTTTTATCTACAATTCTATTTATTGTACTACCACTGCTGCTGTATGCTATTTACGAATTATTGGGCCGTAAATTGACAATTGGTGAAATTGACAGGAAAGCGGTATTGATCGCTGGATATGGAAGCCGTGAGGATTTTTGTGGTACAGAGAATGATCCAGAACATTGGCTGGGATTTTTGAGAATGATGAATCATCGAACAACAACTACTAAAAGTAATTATGAAAAGCAAGCATACATACCTATCTTAAAATTGTATATGGAATAGCTGCCGAGAGTTTTTATCAGCGCAATTAACCTCAAAAGGTCATGTCTAAACACAAACTTTCTATTTCTAAGAACTCAGTACTTTTATCTCCTTCTCTTGTTTGTCTTTTTCGGAAAACAAAAAAACCACCTCAGAGATCGAATAGTATATGCTCAAGTTGTTCTCATACTTCTTTCTGTACCTGGTTATGACCTCTGTAGTTCATCAAAGTCTGCTCTTCAAGCTTATATGCTTAAGTTGACCTTATCAGGTATGATATCATTGATTTCTTTGCAAAAATCATTAAATCCATGTAGTATATGTCAGTTCATCAGAATCCTTTAAAATGATGACAAATAATTTTGCATGCTGTATAAAATATACCTTATCCTCAATAGTTAAATATCCATAAATTAATGGATTTGAAGGCATGAACTTGGATCATAATGGGATACAAGTGATAACGATATCTCTGGGTTTCTTTCTAATTCGAATGTAAGAAAATTCAAAGACTAAAAAATATGATCGATTAAGTTTGGTATTAGAACATCAAAGGAAATCTGCGCGATGAATATAATCACGAAAGATATTTCCTTGTGCTATAACAAAGCTATTTTAAGATTTCACTCAGAAACTTACAAATATGTATGTGCACGTTATTTTACGAAACCAAAAAATATTTTTGTAAAACGGTAGAGGAGATTTATGAAATTTGAATAGGAACAATTTTCTGCAACCATACTGATTTATATTGGAAAGATCCGCCAAATTATCTTTTAGCAAAAATATTTGTAAATAATCTTCAACTGAAATATTATCCAAAGACATGATATGGGCAATCATCTCTTATGATGAAGTTGTTGTTCCCGTAACGGTCAAAACTATCTAGCATAATTAGTCCAGTATTTGAAGAAACAGGAAGTGAATAATTTGATTTAAAACTTATGAACCATGCTAAAGTAATTTAGGGATACGAATTAAATGCTTCTAATTAATTCATTTAATTAGAAACCATAAAGTCCAGTATTTTAATTTTTATTGCTACTGCTTCTAGTTTTCTACCTCGCTTCCACTACTCACGTAACAATATGTTGTCAGATTGATTTTTCTTTTCAATCATCTCAACGTACTGCTATCAGTAGTAATGAGGAAGAATAGAAGTTTGAAGGATTACTGAATTCTGGCACCGATACGAAAGAAGAATATTCCGCATTTAAATGATTTCTCACCTTTGATTTACCGGTTCAAAAACTGTTTTTTATGAAATCTGTTTTAAACAATGGCATAGATTTTCATAAGAAGAATAGTTTGCACATTACTGTATTAAAATAAGTGTTGGGTAAAGAAAGGCACACAAGATAATCTTATTGTTTTATAATTTCTAATAGTGTTTAACTTGGGCATATGAGAATCGTCATTTTTAATGATCCAAATAATTACGTATCGAAGTTTTAGCTATGACAATTGGAGAAATAAATGATACTTTTTGGAAAGCACAATGATACTATAGTAGTATTGTTAGTGGAAAGAATGATTAAAGCACTGAAGAAATATACCGAAGTGAAGCATATTTACAATGAAGTTGTTACAAACATCAGATAATTCTTCTCGAATGATCGAAGTTTTAACGAAAGGAAAGTGAACCGAAACAAGGTCCTTGCAGTCATTTGCAGCTATTAAGGTAATATTAATCGAAATAAAAGTTGAAATCCTAAGATGGAAGGAAATTTAATAAGGTATTTTACAGTTTTTAATCTCTCAATATGATTCCTTGGAATTCTTAGTCCCAACGATGATCAAAATCAACGCTTTCTCTAAAATAGGAATAATTCGATGGGATCTGTTTCTAGAGAAGAATGACATAAAAACTTGGAAATCTCTCATGAATAAACGACAAGGTGATGTCATCAAATCACAGTCGGTAAAAACCGAAGCATTTTTTTTTAAATCAAATTACTTTGTAATGCAAATATTTCGATGTACATTTATAACAGTGTGAATTTGATGGCTAAAAAGTTGTTTTAATTTCAATATTTTTTAGATAAATGATACATGAACTAATAATATAAACGGATGGATTGATAATGAACTAATAATAATATAAATGTCTAAAACTAATAATAATATAAATTACATAAACTAATAGGAATATTTCGATCTTAAGGTAATGAATCATTGGTCCAACTTCCATCTCTTAAATTTGACAGACAAATTCATTTAAATTTTGTATCTACCTACCATTGACTTTTTATTCTGCATCAATTGCCATGTTTGGATTGCAGACACAATATCCTTTGTGATGCTAATAGTGTCTTCTTGTTTGAACATGTTCCAATATATTAACTAGAGTTATATTCTCACACAAATTATTGTGGCAAACAAAGTTGTACTGTAACCTTCCTCCATTTTTACAATAAAATGGGAGTACGTACATTGTGAGAATATTGCAGATCATTCCCAATATACATAGAATCGATCATTTGGATCCAGTTGGATCTTTATCGTTCTTCAACGAACAGCGCTTCTGAAACTCACGTAGAAGAGAAGATTGTTGTTTGGGCATACAAATCAGCTCAGTGATCGACTTTATCTGTAAGTTTTCCTCTACGCCTGTATAATGCGTCCAAGAAGATTAAATATTTCTAAATTAAGAAGCCTTTCACACAATAGTTCATCTGTGCCAATCAGCAACACAATGAGAACTACAAAAATCAACTCACGACAATACTATAACTGACAGTAAGTTCGGTAGAACGAATATAAAGTCACATCCTCTGTAATGCTTCAAAGATAGCCTATCCAGTACCAATATATGTTTTGAGTAACAATGATACGAGCAAAGAAGCATCGCTGATCTTCAAAAATTCGAGACTTGTTATCCCTAAAGTATCAGCATCTTCAGCTGGAAATTCTGGTAATATTGATCGGTGTACGAGCAACTAAGTTCGTAATGCGACAAAGCGAATTTAAAAAATGTGCCAGTAATTGTGTGGTTTAATTCGAAATGCCCATTATAATCGATAATCAATCAAAATTGCTGCCAATATTTGTTCAAGATTAAATACTGAGTAGGATGAATACGAGAGATGAAATCCTGAGAAGTATGAAATGATAGCGAACTGAGATGTAGTGGTGAAAGCAACCTCACAGAGATTTCATAATGGAATGTAAGGAAATCGAGATTTCGGATTTATCAATATGCTTTAATCACTCTTAAACATTCTCATACTTTCGAATCATTAGGTCAGCTGAAACGAACCTAAATAAAACCCGTTTCCAAAAGCAGTTCCTGTTGGCGGAGACAACGAGAAGTTCATCATGATACAAATGATTTAAAAAGAAAAAAAAAATTGACTGGAATGACAAGGATGATAGAAGAACAGGAGAAAGGAAACGATACGAAAAAAAGTTATGATGAGTGCTTCACATTCCATTCGTAATGTCAATAATGAGCAAAGCACTGTGATTATTCAAAAAACGACGAAATTCTGTGAGCTGAAAGAAGTAAATGATAGCACCGAGGATTTCAGCGCATAACCAACCAAATTTAGTAAAACAAAAATCAATTTCTTCATTGTTAACAAAGTTTCGATCAATAAATTTCTGATCTTTTCCTACACATTCCTACCGCAATGAAGGAAACTTGGTTAACGTTAGCAGTGGCTTTATATTCCACATTTTAAAGTACTATGATCAATCTCAAATAACATATTTCTGCCTACGAGCCTACCAAGTTTTTTTCTTTTTTTACTATAACCTGAAATTCCATGTTTCAGGGTTTAATGAACCTTGAAAAAGGATTTTCTGAATTTTACTGAGTGTATACGCGCTTTTCCTCATAATAAAATTGTCGAGATGACTGAAGAAGTACTAATGGATTAACAAGAAGTGCGGCGATTATTGTTAAATACAAAATTTCGCAGTTTAATCTGTTCAACTTCGAAGGATTACTGCCGAATGGGAAGATATTAGAGTTTCCGAAGCATTTCATCGATTTTATATCATTTCTCCAATGTTCAGAAAGTGACTAAAGTTGGCAGAAATGACTAAAGCGTTGTCTTTAAGTAATTTTTGGTTTAGATCTGGTTTTTTTTTGGTTTTGTATTAGTCTTACTTTTGATGTTGATGAACATTCCTTACAGCGGCCTCAAGGACAGTCTCCAGGACGAGCAGCGAAATTTTCTGTTAGAGCTGCAAAAAGTCGTCTAACTTTATTCCGAAACGGGTAAAGCTACGAATAATTACATGAGCGGAGAGTATTACGTTTGTAACACAATTACCTGAAATGTTTAATGGGTACTATTATGGTCAGAAAGCAGCATTCAAATCCTTCCTACAGTTCGAAATTCATTTACAGAATCATCATATTAACTGAAATTTAAGACTCCAATTAATAACACACTTCAAGTATTCGTTTTCGAATCAACAAGTTAATTGGAACAAACCGGAACAACATTTGTGTCCTGGAATTCATTTTTTACAATCTCAAGCTTTCATTTGTTCTAGCTTGTTGTACCTCTGTAAAATGGCGCATAAATATCCTATAAAGCAATGCAAATGACTTGGAATTTAACTGAAAATAGTGTGAGTTATATCTGCGAAAAGTAGGTAATTCAACCATAATACAAATAATCGCCCCTTTTAGTGTTTTCTTGTTTATCAGCTTGATTCAAAATCTGACTTTCAGAAAACAGAAAAAGTATTTTCAGTAAGGAAAAGTAATAAAAAAGGATAGCAGGAGGAGCCACCGACTGATTTCCAGTTTTCAATTAACTCATTTGTTTCCCCAATTTCCTTCACTAAAACTTCAAGCATTGCCATTTGTGTTTTATTGCTCACCGCCAGCAGTTTGAAACATTCTCTTTCTGTATTTACAATGAAAGCATGAATTTTTTATTGAAATGAAACCCATAAAGAATGCAAAAGTAATTTCTTCATTTAATCATTCACAATACCTATCTCATTCGAAATACCTTCCTTACCTTTTAAGGTGTTCGTAATTTCATCTGTTTCGAAGTAAACTCGAACGGTTTTTCGCGACATTAATAGAAGATGTTTTTATCTACAATTCTATTTATTGTATTACCACTGCTGCTGTATGCTATTTACGAATTATTGGGCCGTAAATTGACAATTGGTGAAATTGACAGGAAAGCGGTACTGATCACTGGATGTGGAAGCGGTGAGATTGACAAAAACACTTTTGTGAAAGGAAAATGATTTAGAGCGTTTCAAAATATGGCAGCGAAGAATGGTGATTTAAAAATCCTAATTGATAATATATAAGTCATAAATGATTTCCAGGGTTTGGTCGAGATTTGGTGAAACGATGTCTTCAGAACGGATTGACAGTATTTGCTGGATGTCAGTTTAAAAGTGTAGGCTCCTAATTAATATAAAGTTTATAAGTTTTGCAAATAATTTGTTGGGTGCAAATTTCATT